CGGGTTTACGCGTGGCGCGAGGACTGCCGCAGCCACGGTGTGCGTCACTGCGGTGCGGCGCGCCACATGCTTGCTGTGCGACGCGCAGTACGACTCGTGGGGGGAGCACGCCGCCGGGGTCCCGCACATCGCCCGCAGCGCCATCTGCAGGACGTACGTCGCCCCGGAGCGGCATGGCGCGATGATACAGCAGCTGTGGAAGCACATACGCCTCGACTTTGAGCACATTGACGATGTGACGCACAAGAAGGAGGACCGACGCCGTGGTCGCCTTGCCTCCACGATGCGGCACCTGCAGCAGCAGGGCGTTTTGCGCTGCTCCATCCCGATNGTCTCGCTCGATGCGAACGGCTCCAAGGCGATTGATGTTGCAAAGGACACCTTTGTGAATTACATGCTTCTGGGTGAGAGCTATGCCCAGCAAGAGACGATCGATCGTGTCGCGCGTCTTATGCCGCGTCTGGATGCCATGGAGCTGAGTAGTGTTGTGCGGTACGTTCTGTCGAAGCGGCGCCTCGCCCGCCTCTTCGATGAGCTCGACATGCAAGTGCTCCTCAAACCCAGTACTGCTGCATCGGTTGCCTGCGCGGAGGGAGGCGAGATGGAGGCGAAGATGGTGAAGGAACACGAGGATGCGTCAAGGAGCAACAACAGCAGCAGTAGTAGGGATAACAATGCGGCGAAAAGGTGCGGCGAGACCACAGCAGCGGCGCTGCGGCTGCGCCAGGACGAGAAGAGTGTCATACTCCTCAGCTGCCTGGGCGAGTTGCAGATGTTCTCGCGGCAGGACCGCTCGCACAGCGTGGCGTCCCGGGCGGCGGCCGAGCAGCTCGTGCTCAACGTGCTCGGCACCCACGTGACGGAGAACATCGTTGCTGAGCTGGTGCACGGGGTGCTACAGAGCGTCGTGGAGGAGGGAACTCCGGTGTGGCGGGCCCACTGCAGCGAGCTTACGGACAAGCTGTTCGAGGGTACAAGGGCCGTGCCGTCGCCGCTCGCTGCATCGCCGGCGTCAGCGTCACCTGCGGCGCCGGAGGAGCGCGAGCGGCGCACGGCGGATCTCTGCGGGCTGTACGCACTCGACATGGGGCGCGACGCGGCGCCGCTCCCGCCGACAGTGGGACGGCAGTCGTGGCACGACGTGTCGCGTGCCTTGGCGCTGGAGCTGACGGTGCCAAGCCCGGTTAATAAGAGCGCTGTGTTTGCCGCACCAGCACCGCGGCTGCAGCCACGGAAGAAGAACGAAAAGTAGGCGTGCGCTCGTGCATGTCTCGGCTTGGATCGGAATCTCATTGTTGTTTTTGTGGCAGAAGCAAGAGCAGCAGCAGCAGCAGGGGCAGCGATTTAACTGGAGGAATGTAATCCACCCTGGGTGCAAATCCGCGAAAAAAAAGGAGGAGGCATGGGTGAGTTGTGATGGTGTCCCGCGCTGTGTGATGCACGCAAGAGGATGAGCATGCAAACAGCGTGCGGGAGTGTCGCTGTGAGGCCACCTCGTGGTGGCAGTGGAAGCATGATGTGGAAGTTTAGAATCACAGAGGAATACGGATTAATAGTTGAGGGGCTGGCAGCACAGCGCGGTATATGCAGCGGGGGCAGGTGCTGTGTGCCTGCTTTCCTGCGGTTGTCTGTCCCCATCGTCCTGCAGTACGTTGCGGCAACGCTGGCTCAACACCAGCCAGGGCAGTGCCGGTGGGAGTAGTGGCGGCTGAAGGAAAAGGAAAAAACAACAAAGGATAACAGTGCGCCTTACCTGACCGAGACAGTCGCGCTTCAGCACAGTGGCCACCCCCTATTCCTCAGGAGGTATCTCTCACAATGCGGATTCTTCTGCTGTCTGTTTTGCCCTCTCCTGCAGAGTCCTGGCTGTGTCCTTTATTCCTCTGCTTCCTCGTAGCATTTACACAGACCATTATTATGAGGAGCAATCCAGGAAGAAGTGGGTGAGCACGGGACACCACGCACAGTTTGAGGCATATGCAGTGCACTCACGGTGGTGTTTTGCATTTTATCTTGTTGCTGAGGCTGTGGTTGAAATTGTATTTTTCCTACCGATGAGTGCTACCCTGCGTTCTTTCGGCTCTGCTCTTGGTGCTGCACTCGTTTGATTGACTGTTGGCACTGTCAATCGTGGGGAAGTGTGGCTGCGCGGTGGTCATAGTGCGAGCGGTCGCTGTGTTGTAATAGGTCAGCGCCATTATTGAGCATCACCGTTCGTCCAAGTGATGTGTTGTTGGGTATGCTTGCTGAGGTGCCAACAGTCACTTAATTCGTAACGTTGTGTTTCCTTCGGCGCATGTGTTTTCAACGACCACCCTAGATGCTACTGTATTAGTTGTGTACACCTACCAACCTTTATTACAACAAACTGATTGAATTGTTCTTGCTTCTTCTGCTGCTGCCGCGTGATGGCATCCTTTTTGAGGGAGTGCTGAGCGAACCCTGAATTGACTGCGTGGCCAGGGTGATGCAAGGTTGCTTATGGGGGGCGGAATGTGTTTTTGATGTCTCTATGCGCCTGGACTCCATGAGCTCCTCTTGTTGGTCCCACATGCTCTTTTCCTGTACAGCTAACACAAATATAGGCACGGGTATCACTTGTTTCTTGAGGGAAACCCTGCTTTGGCATATATATATATATAT